ATCTTCACTGCAGCTGATTTTTGGAAAACTGGTGAAAGTAAAGAACTATTTTTCGTCCTAGTTAAATAGGAGAGGGAAATTTACTGTTTTACATTTCAAGGGAGTAAGTAATTCCTTTCAGTAGCTGACCTCAAAGTGAAGGTGGCGTGGTGCAGGCCGTCCTGCAGGCTAGTGCAGGCCTCCTCCGACACCCCGTGCTGGCAGAGGTCGCCCGCGAACCCTTGGCGGCACCTACAGAAGCCGTCGTCGCAAGAGCCGCCGTTGTGGCACTGGCACTTGGGCAGGCAGGCCGGCACCGTGCCATGGGGCAGGCCCGGGAACACCCACTGACCCTTCACACACACGCCTACCACAATCCTCCCCATTTCAGTTTCGTAGTCGTTCAGGCAGAAGATGACAGAGCGGCCGCCACTGGAAGGTGGGTGATAAAAATCAGCGAATAGTCACTGCATTAAATTATGGGTGTTCGAATGCGGGGACTTAAGAGCTGATGTTCGACCCTGCAAACACATCAATGTACATCTGTATGAGGGCGAACGCGCACGCACACATGCACACACACACAGCTAAGCAGCTAACGTAGTCCCGATATACAAGAAAGGGGATAGACAGGAGGCACTGAATTACAGGCCAGTGTCCCTAACCTGCATACCATGCAAGCTGATGAAGAAGATTGTGCGAAGAAAGCTAGTGGATTACCTGGAACGAAAGAACTTTGTAACACAGCAACATGGATTCAGGGATGGCAGGTCCTGCCTCACAAGGTTACTTGAATTCTACGACCAGGCAACAAAAATAAGGCGAGAAAGAGAAGGGTGGGCAGACTGCATATTTTTGAATTGTCAGAAAGCCTTTGGTACAGTGCCACACAAGAGGCTAGTGAAAAAGCTAGAGATGCAGGCTGGAGTGAAAGGGAAGGTACTCCGTTGGATACAGGAGTACCTAAGCAACAGGAGACAACGAGGCAGTGTGAGGGGTGAGGTCTCAGATTGGCGAGATGTTACGAGTGGAGTCCCACAGGGGTCAATCCTTGGACCTATACTGTTTCTGATATATGTGAATGATCTCCCAGAGGGTATAGAATCGTTTCTCTCAATGTTTGCCGATGATGCACAAATTATGAGGAGAATCGAAACTGAGGACGATAGTAGGAGGCTACAAGATGACCTAGACAGACTGTGGTGCAGTGGGTTAAAGGCGTACCAGTTATGCCAGTTGCTGTAAGGCTTCTGTGCTGGCTACGGTTCGAATCTCCTGGTGGGAAAGTGTTCTAAGGTTATATATATATATATATATATATATATATATATATATATATATATATATATATATATATATATATATATATATATATATATATTATAACCTTAGAATATATATATATTCTAAGGTTATAATAACCTTAGGTATATATATATATATATATATATATATATATATATATATATATATATATATTATAAAGTAAAAGTAGGCAGAAAGGCAGAAATGAAGGTAGGGAGGAAAATAGATATGAATGATGGTAGGCAGAGAAGCAGAATGGCAAGTAAGCTGTCAAGTAAGCAGACATTCAGGTTGAAAGGCATGCAGATAGTCAGTCTGACTAAACGGTATGCAGGCAGAAAAACAAGAAGGTATTCCTGGACAGGAAGGCAGGTTAGACAGAGAGGCAAGCAAGGAGGAAGGCAGGCCATCAGGAAGGTAAGCAGGCAGGCTGGCAGAAAAGGCAAGCAGACAGGTTGGCATGCAGAATAGCAGGCAAGCTCGTATGCTTTAAGAACTGCAGGCAGGTTGACAGGATGGCAGTCAGGCTGGAAGGATGGCAGACAGCCTGACAGGACAGCAGGCAGGGTGGTAGGACAGCTAACCTGATGGCAGGCAGTCTTATAGGATGGCAGGTAATCTGCTAGGATGGCAAGCAGGCCATCTTAGCAGACTAGTAGTAGATTGCAGAGAGTGCTGCAGTATTACGAGAAGGCCGGCAAAACGCGAGCAGGCCGCCAGGATGGCGGGCAGCTCAGCTGGATAGCAGGCAGGCAGGCTGGCACAATGGCAGGTAGGCCAGTAGGATGGCAGGCAGACTAGCAGGATGGCAGGCAGGTCTGTATGATGGCTAGCAGGATGGCAAGCAGGCCTGCATTACGGTAGGCAGGACGGCAGGAAGGACGGCAGACAAACCGTGAGGATGGCCGTCAGGTCGACGTACCGGTAGGACGGCAGACAGGTTGGAGGCATGAAGGGAGAGGCAGTCTTGTTGTCAGAGGGTCAGTAACCACAATGGGGCACCCTGGTTGTGCCCCAGCCTTGAGCGTACCACACGGAACTGTCTTCCAGAGTAACCAGGGCACTACAATGTCATGTGTAACTAAGTACTTTAGGACCTTGGGACAGGATGCTAAGAGGTGTTTCGGCTGTTAAATGAGAGTCAGATTTAGATCTTGGGTGCGTGTCATTAAGGAAGCAAGGTGGAGCTATCCATTTCCAGGTGAATGTATCTTGAAGCGATTTATTAAGGAACTTTACCTGTAAATATTGAAAGAGCGTCCAGGCTGTTTCGGTGGTTCAGGACATACGCTCTCGTCCGCCACTTCCTTCAGTGGAATGGGCCATGAATCCTGGGGTTCGCACTCAGGATCATTGGCACCCAAGCTTCTAGCATACTGCCACTGTCCGTCGGAGCAAACGATGTCAATCCAGGTGGTGTTATCGGCGAGGAAGTGGCCAGGTAGGCACTCAACAGTCACCTCATTCTCTCCAGAGCTGCAACAAAGTCCAATTTACATATTTTAATTAGATTTGTTAACTCTAGTCTGAGCGGGTGATGAAATTCAGGGTTCAGTGTCAGTGTTTATTTACAGGGCCGTGATACTGTTTGAGCCGGATGCCGTCGTCGAAAGTTAATGAGTATGCCTTAAAATTACTCATTACTTATGCAAATGAGACAGGGATAGTCTGTACCAAAAGCTTGTGCGTACGTGCATATGTATGTATTACCCTCATGTTATTCACCTAGTTATATCTGGTGGATTGAGCTTTAGCTCCTGGATTCCGCCTAGGACGATAATTTCTGACATTTTTGTTTCATCTTTATTTAAATCCATTAATAGAGTTAGCCGTAAATAACTTCCTAACACATTTCACTGAGTATGTGTACTCACAGATATACAATCCCAAGGAAACAACAGGTAATACGAATGAAAGGCTTCAGAGGGGAGGAGGTAGGCACACAAATACAAGGGCTGTGTCGTGGGAATCATTACGATGAAAGCGATGAAGTTCCCGTGGTTGTGATCAACAACCCTAGAGAACACACACGCCCGAGAAAGAACATAAAACTGCGAACAGAGCGCGCGTGATATCCTCCGTGTAGGGACAGAGCCCATACACGGAGCAAAGAGCCTAGTTTTACGGTGTTTCGATCATGACTAAATTGACTGGGAACATTGGATTATGACATGAAGAAACATGGAGAGATGAGCTTGTAGAATTATCAGAGAGGACCTTACTGATGCCATTTCAGTGATGTCACTGCCATTTCAATGAGAAGTTCCTCCGGGAAGTCTTATTAAAGGGCAGTGACATCAAAATTAAGAAAGTAACTAAAGGAACTGGATATTACAAATACTATAGGAACAGACAAGATATCCCCTTGGATACTAAGGGAGGCCGCGGAAGCACTGTGTAGTCACCTTGCTATAATAAATTTGACCTTTCTGGAAACGAAAGAACATTCATACTACTGGAAAACGCTTAATATAGTGCTAATATAAAAGAAAAGGGGAGAGAAAAGAACTGTTAAACTATAGACATAAATTTAAAAAGTATCCTCAGTAAGCTACTAGGAAGACGGAATCGAAACAGGCTAGTAGAATAATTTGAACAGCTAAATTTTGTCTCCAAGCACCAACACGGATTAGTAAAAGGGAAATCCTTTTCTTGACAAACTTGATGGAGTTCTACAATTAGATTACAGAAATCAAACAAGAGAAAGTAAGTTGGATAGACTGCATATTCCAGAAAATATTCCCTCTTCTGCATAGTAAACTCCTACTCAAATTAGAGAAGCGGGCAGGTGTATTGGGAAGAGTCGTTACTCTTCCCAATACTCTTCACTTCGTAAGTCATAAAGAGTCGGGTGATAACAGAAGTTTGATCTGGGGTAGAAGAGTCCCACTAACGCGAGACCTGAGGCAACACTGTCCCTTGAAAGCGATTTACATTAATGCACCCTATTCTCTTCTCTAATATTCCTCTCCCATTACCTCTTAACTCCTTTCCCGCTCCTCATATCTTTATATCTTCTTAACCCCTTCCTTTTACTCTACTCCATCTCTCCTTGTATCATCTTATTCCCGTATCTTCCCTCTTCAATTTATTTTCTCTTTTTCTCCCTTCCATCACATTTTCCGTCTACCACTTCTCTCTTGCCTCTCACAAGTAACTCACCCGTGGGAATATCTGGCATTAGCGACATGAGGCAGAGGGCCATCACAGAGGCGGTGCTGGCACTCATCACCCACGTAGTGCTCCAGGCACCGACAGGTGTTGGGGGCCACACACTCCCCTCCATGCTGACACTCAGGCTGGCACGTGGGCAGGCAGACGAGCTCTCCAGGGGACCCGGACCAGCTACCATTCTCACACAGGAACGCCATCTTGGTCTCTCCGCTTGGAAAAATGTAGCCGTCAGCACAGGTCGCTTCTGCTCCCATGGAGCTGTATGGGGAGAGAGGGGGGGGGGGTCAGACACGCTTAGTACACACACCACATTATTGATGAATCAGCTGAACAAAAGACTTACATTATTGATGTATCAGCTGAACAAGTAAGTTCGATTTCGTACTTGACAGACGAAATCGAACTTTGCTCATCAATATCTATTAAAGAAGAGATTCCAGCCTAAGGTTGGAGGCCTGATAATTGAGGTTAGCATTATCTAACTTTGCAGGGTGTCCGGTAGTTAGCATGGGACCGTCATGGGCCGTCCCCATTGCACCTACCTAAGTGGGCTCGGCTCTCATGGCATCCGCTATGATGACGATGGAAACAAAGGGTGGGGGGCCGAATCCACAGAGTATACTAGAGCAAATTTTGACCATACAAATTACTAGAGCAACCCTGGAACATATAAATACTAGAGCAACCTTGGAGCATATAAATATTAGAGCAACCCTGGAGCATATAAATAGTAGAGCACCTCAACCACTCCAATACCCACTTCCACCACTACCACACCAATACTCACTGCCACCACTACCACACCAATACCCACTTCCACCACTACCACACCAATACTCACTGCCACCACTACCACACCAATACTCACTGCCACCACTACCACACCAATACTCACTGCCACCACTACCACACCAATACTCACTGCCACCACTACCACACCAATACCCACTTCCACCACTACCACACCAATACTCACTGCCACCACTACCACACCAATACTCACTGCCACCACTACCACACCAATACTCACTGCCACCACTACCACACACCAATACTCACTGCCACCACTACCACACCAATACCCACTTCCACCACTACCACACCAATACTCACTGCCACCACTACCACACCAATACTCACTGCCACCACTACCACACACCAATACTCACTGCCACCACTACCACACACCAATACTCACTGCCACCACTACCACACCAATACTCACTGCCACCACTACCACACACCAATACTCACTGCCACCACTACCACACACCAATACTCACTGCCACCACTACCACACCAATACTCACTTCCACCACTACCACACACCAATACTCACTGCCACCACTACCACACACCAATACTCACTGCCACCACTACCACACCAATACTCACTGCCACCACTACCACACCAATACCAATTGCCACAACATGCTCTTGTGAGCACGTCACACAATGTACACGCGCAGTACCATCGCTTCCATGTACATACTGCAGCAGGCCACTTCTCATTCCTCAACACAGAAGTCAGAAACACAATATAACATTGCTCCCAGATCTAGACAATTATGAGACAGTACTAACGACGATAATGGATGCAAATTTATCAAATATGTTTACGACAACAGATTAAATATGTACACTACGGATACCCAAACTCTTATTAGGAGGCAGACTTGATAATGTAATGGGTGGAAACACTGTGCAAGACAATATGGAATGTTCGTTGGTAAATCACTTGGTTAGTGATCACTATGCAGTTTCTGCGTCCTATGAGGTTCAGTGTGATGTACCTAATAGACATCAGAGACAGAAAATTAATATTCCATATGGTTTGCATAACCACTTTATTAATTGGATTTAAAAATAGAATGAAGACTACACAATAACGAATGTACAAGCCTTCTCCAGAGACCTCGTTGATACAATACTACCTACTGCGACACATGGGTGTGTTGGGGAAGAACCCTAGCAGAAGTGGACAACACCTACCATCACCCAAGCGGGTCCTCGACCCCGTATTTGTCAAAGAACGTGAACGAATAAAGCCGCTTGGAGATACATACAAACGAACCAAAGCACAAGGTGACTTGCATGCATTTCTTGTCGCAAATAGAGAGGTGAGAGACATGAGCAACGTTATACGTAATAAACATTGGGAAAGAATTCCTATAAAGTATAAAAGTTCAAACATCGCTTATTGAAGTTTAGGAAAAGATTCGAAAAATCTCTAGAAGCAGTCCAACCAAACCACTGCACAAGTACAAGCAGCTTACTAGTACAAGCAAACATTCTTCTTGAGCAATGTGCACTAACAAGCGATAATTCGCTCACAATTAACATACAGAACAAACTTAATGACACACGCCCCAATAGACAACGAACCATAAATCTTGCTTGTACAGCTATCGACGTGTCGGACCTAAATGATGTAACTGAATGGGAATTCAGTTAAAAAAAATTAAAAACAGGCACAAAAATCAGGACTGGCAAAGCCCGTCCTGATTTTTACGTGCGCTCCTGGAGAGGACGTCCTGAGTACGTGCGCTCCTGAGTACGTGCGCTCCTGGAGAGGACGTCCTGAGTACGTGCGCTCCTGAGTACGTGCGCTCCTGGAGAGGACGTCCTGAGTACTTGCGCTCCTGAGTACGTGCGCTCCTGGAGAGGACGTCCTGAGTACGTGCGCTCCTGAGTACGTGCGCTCCTGAGTACGTGCGCTCCTGAGTACGTGCGCTCCTGAGTACGTGCGCTCCTGGAGAGGACGTCCTGAGTACTTGCGCTCCTGAGTACGTGCGCTCCTGGAGAGGACGTCCTGAGTACGTGCGCTCCTGAGTACGTGCGCTCCTGGAGAGGACGTCCTGAGTACTTGCGCTCCTGAGTACGTGCGCTCCTGAGTACGTGCGCTCCTGGAGAGGACGTCCTGAGCACTTGCGCTCCTGAGTACGTGCGCTCCTGGAGAGGACAGTGTTACTTACAGTTTACTGAGATTAATCTCACAAGTACCAGGTAATCCACTTTTAGACAAACCTGTCTCCTGAAGCCCACATAAGAATAACATCAGCGGCATATGCGAGGCTGGCTAACATCAGAACAGCCTTCAGGAACCTGTGTAAGGAATCATTCAGAATTTTGTACACCACATATGTAAGACCAATCCTGGAGTATGCGGCCCCGGCATGGAGCCCGTACCTTGTCAAGCACAAGACGAAGCTGGAAAAAGTCCAAAGGTATGCCACTAGACTAGTCCCAGAACTAAGAGGCATAAGTTATGAGGAAAGGCTGCGAGAAATGCACCTTACAACACTGGAAGACAGAGGAGTAAGGACAGACATGATCACAACCTACAAAATCCTCAGGGAAATCGACCGGGTAAACAAGGATAAACTATTCAACGCTGGCGGGACGCGAACAAGAGAAAAACAGGTGGAAACCGAGCACCCACATGAGCCACAGGGACGTAAGAAGGAACTTTTTCAGTGTCAGAGTAGTTAACGGATGGAATGCATTAGGAAGTGATGTGGTGGAGGCGGACTCCATACACAGTTTCAAGTGTAGATATGATTGAGCCCAGTAGGCTCAGGAATCTGTACACCTGTTGATTGACAGTTGAGAGGCGGGACCAAAGAGCCAAAGCTCAACCCCCGCAAGCACAAATAGGTGAGTACACACAAACACACACACACACACACACACACACACACACACACACACACACACACACACACACACACACACACACACACACACACACACACAAACACACACACACACACACACAAACATAAAGTCCAGCTGGGGATATTGGGCCAGCGACGGGAGGCGCCTGGGAGGAGAAGTCGCAAGTCGGGTAAGTGTATAACTTCATACTTTTAATTAATAAAGTTCTCGGCCCCAGCCCCGCCAAGGAGGGGGAGGAGGAGCAGGAGGAGGAGGAGGAGGAAGATAGGGTAGAAAGAAGTATAGGAGGAAGTGCTGTGAAGTATCGAGGAATTGATGATGAGGTTGAAGAGGAGGGGGAAGGATAAGGAGAAATTATACGAAGTTAGAGATAAAAAGAAGAGGAGGAGGAGGAGGAGAAGGAGGAGGAAGAGGAGGAGGAAGAGAAGGAGGAGGAGAAAGAGGAGGAGGAGGAGAAGGAAGAAGACAATAATGAGAAGAAAGAGTGTGAAGCGGAGCACTAGAGGAAAGAGGAGCCGGAGGATAAAGAGGCCCGTGATCAACAGGAAACAGAGACACAACATGGAGGTGAGGAACAAGTAGGCGAGAAAAAACATTAGGAAATGAGAGGGAACAAGAAGTGAAGAAAGAAGAGAAAAACGGAAGATAAATCAAAAGGGAAAATATGAGAGAAAGAGCGGGAGCCAGGGCAAGGCGACTTGTAAGAAGAAGAAGAACAGCATCAAAATGAAGCAACATGAACGAGAAGGTATGGAAGAAGAGGAGGAGGAGGAGGATGTGGAGGAGGAGGACGAAATAAGGGGGAAGGAGGAGGACCAGGATTGGAGAGCCACGTAAGATTAACTCTCTCTCTCTCACCCCCCCTCTCTCACCCCCCCCTCTCACCCTCTCTCACCCCTCCCCTCTCACCCTCTCTCCCCCCCCCCTCTTCCTCCCTCCCTCCCTCTCTCTCTCTCTCTCTCTCTCTCTCTCTCTCTCTCTCTCTCTCTCTCTCTCTCTCTCTCTCTCTCTCTCTCTCTCTCTCTCTCTCGCCAACTAACATATCAGTCGTGGTCAACGAGGGTGAACGCATAATGCCAGGGATACAGTTTACCGTTTGGAAGGTGCTTGGTAATACATCATACAAGCTGTGACACTCTTCACTGACAGTGGTTCTGGTGATTGATCTCTTGTCACTCACAGCTTCTCGCTGCCAGGAACACGTGACTCCAGTAGACACGAGTGGAAGGGTCAAGCCCAAATAGCATTACATATTGGCCTATGATTAGTTGTTGTAAGAAGTAGGTAAGAAGTTTTGCGTGCTAGCCCATCAATAGCATCGTGTACAAAAACTATGAGAGATATAAATAACCAACACTCAGCGATTTGAAAGGTCGTCACCTTAGCATCAACTGTGTGCCAAGTCATGTAGGAATACTAGGGAATGACACCACCCATCCTCCTAAGGTTTTCCAATGTCAGGAAAAAGGTAAATTTAAAGTGTTCTCTACTAACCTACCAGAGGACCCAAAACGGAAAACGGAACAGTACGTCTCTTTCATGAGCCGCTTCAATTTTCTGGTACGACAATTTTTTGCCCTTATGTAACGCATATGAGAGAAAAGCGACGTTCTTTGTAGGAGGATAGGTTGAATGACAATTTGCAGATGAAGCTGCAAAACTTGCAACTAAGCGAAGAAATGTAGTTCAGAGTCTAGCACAAATTAGGCAAGTAGTTAGAGACAGTGCAATGCAGAAGATTTACTTTCCACAAGGCTCTGTACTTGGACCCATCCTGTTTCTAATATGTAAATGATCTTCCAGAGGGTATAGACTCATTCCTCTCAATGTTTGCTGGTAATGCAAAAATTATGAGAAGAGTCAAGACAGATGTAGATAAAGAATACTGGACGACCTGGACAAACTGGAGTGGTCTAGAATGGTCTAGAAAATGGCAACTAAACTTAAACTCAGGAAAGTGTAGAGTAATGACATTAGATGAA